ATAACTCTATATAACTCTATATAACTCTATATAACTCTATATAACTCTATATAACTCTATATAACTCTATATAACTCTATATAACTCTATATAACTCTATATAACTCTATATAACTCTATATAACTCTATATAACTCTATATAACTCTATATAACTCTATATAACTCTATATAACTCTATATAACTCTATATAACTCTATATAACTCTATATAACTCTATATAACTCTATATAACTCTATATAACTCTATATAACTCTATATAACTCTATATAACTCTATATAACTCTATATAACTCTATATAACTCTATATAACTCTATATAACTCTATATAACTCTATATAACTCTATATAACTCTATATAACTCTATATAACTCTATATAACTCTATATAACTCTATATAACTCTATATAACTCTATATAACTCTATATAACCATGCATACTACCACATTCAATCAATAAAAATCCCACTAAAACCAGGAACCACCGCGTACCTGCTGAATGTATGATGTGAAACANAACAAAAAAAAAACACAAAACAAAAATCACACCACCAAGTAGAGTAAAAGAATAGGAGTCCCTAACCTACCTATGTAACTAAATTACCTTATGCCCTAGCCTACCTATATAATAAATTAATTTTTACCTCACCTACCTATGCTTCATTAACTTAACTCAAGACTCATGAAGAAAGAGAAAAAGGAGTAAAACAGAACATAAAATACTACCACACAAACAAACATGATGTATGTATGTATGTATGAGCGACCGTTAAAGAACCCACCTAAAATTAAAAAATACCACCTACAAACATTCAAACCACCTACAAACATGCAAACTCTATATAACTCTATATAACACTATATAACTCTATATAACTATATAATAAAATAAATAAAAATAAAAAAAATTTAAAAATAAAATAAATGAGATCAGACAAACTGCTTCAAGCGAGGCAGAATGCTGATCTGATTTTCATGTTGTCTCAGCTCCTCTATTTATACTCGTTTCAACCATACATTCTCATCATTTCAATCATTCGCATAGTAAAAAACTTGTTTAATGTACATACTACACTATTATACAGTCTTAACCACAATGCTAACCGTACTAAATTGAAGTCATCGAACGAACGCCTTCGAAACTTTCTGGTTGGCTGGTTGAATCTGCTATATTGCTTTTCATATAAACATATAATCTAATATAATATAATTTAATTATTTGTATACATGGATTCCAGTCACTTTATATATATATAATGAAAATTCATTATAAAAGCAACAGTAATCAGTGCTATATATGTAAGCACGCAGTTCAAATTTTTCGGGGAGAATTCAAAATAGTTTGAGACCACATCTTGCTTAACATCCGATTCCAAGCCGAGCCAAGCCAAGCTGAGCCAATATGCATAGATTTATAAGCGCTTTTATGTTAATATTTTGCTCGCTATATTTATATATTTTATAAATTCATTATAAAAAACAACAGTAGCCATTACTATATATGTACGCACGCAGTTCAAAATTTTCGGAGAGAATTCAAAATAGTTTGAGACCACACCTTGCTTGACATCCGATTCCAAGCCGAGCCAAGCCAAGCTGAGCCAATATGCATAGATTTATAAGCGCTTTTATATAAAAATTTTGCTCGCTTTTTAAACGAACATCCCAATATAACAAATTCTCCATCCTATTTTAACTTTCTTTGATGCTTTTTAATCAGTCAGGTCACAAAAATCATTATCGATATCGCAATAAAATCAATTTGAAATTTTTTTTAATTATTGATAAAATTTTTAAATTGTTGATAAAAATAACTAGTATATATAGTGTAGTAAAACGTTTAAAATTTTCTGAGAGAATTCAAAATAATTTGAGACTACACCATAACACAATTGTACAATTTGAATGTGTAAATACAACATTATAAATGTATTATAACTACGTGTATATATCTATCTATTTCTTTATTTAGTTCTGCCTGTGTATGATATTTTGTCAAATTTATTTGATAGGAATTGAATATAACCTTTATATCGGCTGATTAACTACCATGCAGTAAAATAACTACTGTTGACACCATTTCCTCCAACGATTTCGCAACGAATTGCCCATACCATATAATTAGAATAAACTCTTCCAATCAATGTTTAAATTTTTATATTGTCATTTATTCTTTCGTTTTTGTTTCTGTACTAATTTTCGTGTCAGATACAATAATTTAGTTTTTAAGTAAATTTTCATTTTCGTAGCTATACACAAACATGCCTACCTGTTGCATTAAAAATTGCATTAATAATAAATAGAAATGAGAAAATTTCTGATGCATCTTTTCACAGGTTTATTTTCAAATTAACTTCACACTAAAATAAATGTAACAATATCCCTATGACCTATACTCATTGAATAGAACTATTTTGTTTTACAATTACATATATTTTATTTTACAGACTATTATAATTTATAATGCTATCATGGATTACCATTTTATTATTAATAAAAGCAATACTTAAGAAATGCACAAGTTTCTGCAGCAGTTTATAAAATTTCAGATTTCCTCAAAATGTAAAAATGCTAAACGATTGGATTAAGTGCATCAGACAGGAAATAAATGATTTCAAATGGCTTCCATCAAAAAAACGCAAGAATATGCAGTGACCATTTCTGTAATAAAGATTATAAGGGTTATGATGGAGAAAGAAAGGTAATGCTGAAAAAAGCATTCCCATGTTTTCTAGTTATATTTATATGTCATCAGTTACACAAGGAAGCAATTCACATCATCATTGTACATTGCAACATTCTTATCTATACAAAAAATATAAAATGCATTCAACAATATTCCATGTATTTTATTAAAACTTAGAAAGGGCATAATGACATTGTGAATAATAAACCCTGCTTAGGACTGGGATCATCATCATCATACCAATCACCATTACAAGTAGAGTCAATTTTATATTAAAATCTCGAAACTGTTTGTAGATCTGTACGGTTAAGTGTTTGTTCGAGTTTGAACAAGCCTTGAAAAAATTTTTTTATTTATTTTTGTTTCGTTTATTTCGTTCATTCAATTTGGTTCATTGATTGGTCGATTGGCTGGTTGATTAGATGATTGAAGGAATGGTTGGTTGATTGGTTGATTGATTGATTGATTGGTTGGATGGTTGATTGATTGATTGATTGATTGATTGATTGATTGATTGATTGATTGATTGATTGATTGATTGATCTCACAGTATTGCACACATGAAAAAAAAAATCCGATTAAGCCAACCTACGGCTTCAGTAAACCACTGTTTTTCACCAGACAAAAGCAATTTCTATATTTATATTGACAAAAATAATTGTGATATGAATATATTGATTTATTTAAAGCATTATATGCACAAAAAACCGCTATCATAAGAGCTCTATGAAGCCCTGTAAGCAACTGCAGTAAGCCAACGTATGATTTCAGCAACCAGTTTTAATGAGCATCATGTAGAATGTAAAATATTCATTGAATGAATATAGCAATTTTTATTTCTTTAGGCCGTTTATTTCATAAGCTAACAAATTTTTAACATGATCGAATAGGGTAAAAAAAGGTGACTATAGTTCAATCCTACTAAGCCAACCTTCGGCTTCAGTAAGCCACCGGATTTCACCGGACCAAAAGCAATTTTTATATTCAAAATAACAAAAATAATTTAATACATAATTCTGTTAAATAAAATTAAATAAAATTACTACAATGTTTTAAGCACATTAAGTCAAGTAAATATTTCATATAGCTTGCTCGTTAAAATCCATGCAATTTCGTAAGCCAACAATCCAAGCAAGTCAAATAGCCCGACCGATTGATCGAATTGATCGATTAGTCATCCAATGTAATGTATGAGCTTGCCCGCTACAGTCTTTCTATAAATAAATTTCTCCAAGGCAGTTTCATTTTATTAAATTTTTAGATATGCTAATAATCAAAGTTAACGGCATTCTATAATATGAATGTAATAAAATTTATAGCACTTGAACCAAAAATGCCGAACAACCTAACAACGTTCTAAATAAAACGCTCAGCATAAAATTTTTTTTATCAAACCATAAATCCTGTCAAAATCATACATACCTATATGATTACCAAAAAGTTTTTTTTACGTCAAAATAATATAAACATATATCGATAAACATCATAAATGTTTATTACTAAATTTCTCAAACAGATACCACAACAGAGGCCACCCTGCCCCATACGGTTGGTAGAAATATTTTCATTAATAATATTTTCATCGATGATTGATTACAGTCATTCGATATTCTGTTACGAATGTGGTTTGAATAATCTCTATTCGACCGACGATACGGCTTGTACATACCCTCTGAACGTGACGACCACGACGATCGTTGAGTGCGACGACTTCACCGACATGTGCATCACCTTCATGACGGGTATTTATTTTATTCCAGCTAGCTAAGCATTCACATTTTCAATTTAAATTGATGTATCGAAATCCCTCCAATGATAATATCGACGCAACTTAACTTTTGAGGCTATTGCTGTGCACAACTAATTATGATTAATGATGACTTGGTTGATTTTAAAAACTTACTGGTTCGTAACAAATTAGTCAAATCAAATTTTATGCGTGTTCTTTCTCGTCAGCATACTACTAAGAAATATTCTTAACATTCATACACAGACAATTTGAATGGTTTCCAATAAAAGACCGACGTAATGTCATTATCACTTTACAAATTTACAACAATACCATTCAAATCTTGCAGAAGCGATCAAATTATATAATATGTATTATAAAAAATATATGACAGCTCAGTCGGGGGCAGAAGGAAGGTCGTGTGCACCGCGTCTGCAGCACATCGGCTGCCAGTTCATCTTCGGAATCTCTCCTGGAATCATCTGTAGCTGTTCCTTTGATTTGTGCAACAAATAACGCCTTGTCACTTGTTCAGTTTTTTTCTCTGTTATTTGTTCTTTGTATTATTGCAATTTTTGCTAGATTTTTCTGATTCAAATTGTATTTTTTATTAATTATTAATTTCAAATATCTTAATCCAGCGGGTAAGTACAATGGAAAAAACGTTCGCTCGTACAGTAGAAATAGCATGGTAGTTTTACGTTTGTTACAAAATAAAATATTATAATGATAAAATAAAAGCAATGAGGGCCTTAATTTTGAAAGTGTGAAAAAAATTTGATGTACAAGAAATGGAAAATCTCACACTTATGTATCTAGGTATATATATTTGTACCATCATTCATGACATACATGATACATAAACATACTGATAAAAACAAAATAAGTTTAAAATTTAATTACAAAAGCGGTCATTTAAAATATAAATTGATAAATTAATATGAAGACGGTGAAAATCAGGAATGTGCTACTCGACAGTTTCGACGATCCGGCAATTCGGCACTGCAAGTTGTCATACCTGTCGTTTGAATAAATAAATAAATACGATTACTTATTATCTTGAAACTCGGTATCGGTACAGTGGGCTTCACACACACACACACACACACACACACGGACACACACACACACACACATCAGTTTCCACAGAAGAGGCACCGGTGTAAGCGAGCAACAGACACATATATTACACATGTGAACATACAATCAGACATAAAGTCACAAAAGCTACGAATATTACACACAAGCAAGACGCGCGTACTAACCTCGTCTGCTTGTCACCAGTTACTTTCTTCCTGTATTCCTCCTCAACAGTCTGACCATCGAAGTACCATGCGTTGTCGTTGAATGGGTACTCGTAGCCTACCTTACAATCGCACTTGTACCCACCTGTTATGAACTTCTTGCCAGCTATGTAGACGCACTGTTGGCGTTTCATGATACTCATTATCGTTGTTGGGACTATTTCATTTAATAACGATTGTCATTCATTCATTTCATTCAATGATCCTCTGTAATCCCTTAAGGGACCGTTGAGGCCGATGATATTCTTCTATCTCTCCAAAATCCTTTTCTTTCCCTCGCCATCTTCATTGAGCTTAATGTTCCAACCCCCGTCCATTCCGTGATATCATCCATCCACTTCCTCACAGGTCTTCCAACTTTTTTCTTTCAGTCCCTCTTTCTCATCAGTACTTTTTTGATCATTCTGCAGATGTGCCCAAAGATACCCAGCTTTCTTTCCTTGACACTTTCATATACAGTTTTTTGTCTTCCAAGATAACGATTGTCGCGTGGAACAAATTGTCGAATAAATAAAATAAACATAAAAATATGTAGTCTCTTCTAATTTAACACTTTTCAACTAGATCTAAAAACCGTTCAACTAAACTAGCCCCAATTTAACTAAAAATAATATTAGGCTGGACAAGCAAACCATCACTACACAAACACACGCATGCTGAGCAAACATACAAACAACAACACCACTAACATATGTAGTCTCGTAGTGGCACCTGGCAGTGTCCTTGAATGCGTTCGGCACGAAGTAGTCTTGCGGGCATTGATTGATGTCCAGTTCATTCAGCATCACGTCAACTGTTACAACGCCTCTGTAGAGAATTAAAAAGATTTGCTGTCGTTGTTTGGTTTTTATTGATCTTAAAATATATGTGTTGTAATAATTTGTTTACAATATTTTGTCACTATGCCGTGTAAGTATGGGTTGCAAGTTACAATTAGTTGCAAGTTACAACTGATTTAATTATCGAACTTTGATGAGCAACAATGAGATGGAGTGGAAGTGGTTAACCAACCAACACCAAATATAAAAAAGAAGGACAACGAAAACAAAAAATGACTTGAATTCAATAGCCGTGCCGACAGAATTGAAGCCGAAGAATGGGACACTGTATGTTATGATCCAGTCATCGATGTAGCCATCACATTTGAAGTAAGGCACTGACCACAGCCCATCCTCTTCCATTGGAGCTTGGAAGTACATCGGGTACAACAAAAAGCTCACCTGAAATTGCAATACATCAGGAACGATAGTAACTCGTTTAATGCCACTATTACAATATTAAACAAACAATATAATTAATATTTAATTGGCAAAACATTAAAACAAATTCTACAAAAAATGATTCCCTACTTGACTGGTTCCATTCACGTCGCTTCTTATTACCAGCTTTTCTCTAAATTTTGACAGGCCGTAAGTGTTTGATTGCCATCTTTCTTTAACGTTTTTGAACCAGGGCTCATCCAAGTAGCTCGTGGGAAACCCTGCGTAATCAACGGCCCTGAAATTTGTGTTGGCGACGTTGGACTGCGGGTTGCTGGGGTCTGGAGCTTTCTCAAATTTGTAAGCGTACGGTCCGAACAGTTCTCTCGTCTTTCCGTTAGGCTCGACGAATTTGTTCAGATCGAAGAAGACACCACTACCCTTCATCTTCAAATCACCCATCGTGTTTGCTAGCACTTCGCCAAATATCTTTTCAATAAAAATTGAGTTTACAAATCCAATAAATTATGTATAAAAATAATGTTTTGATTCAATAATTCAAACTCAAAAAAGCTAAATAATAAGCACCTGCTCAATGTTGAGCGGCCTATCCCCTCTCAAGTTCCCATACTCTTCATACTTGTCCACGTTCTGCATGAAGTTGCTGAGGAAGTGCGACAGCCTCAGTGCGGTTCTGGCCTGGTTGGAGAACAAAACTTCGACATTGTAGCCGACATCTCCCGGAAGAATGAGTTCATCCTTCTTGAATTGTTTGCAGTTGCCTCCGGTGACAGATGTTTTGAAGTTAAGAATCTGCTGCATCCTGTTGTACTGCTTCTCGTCGAACGCCTGGCGCTTCATGCGACGTCTCTTGACGCTTTCCTTGTCAAATCTAAGTGTTAATGATAGTTTTCGTCAGTTGAAAATTCTCTACTAAGTTAACAATTCGTTAATGTTTTCGCCAGCATTGCACGTTAATTAACTTACATTAGATTATTTTGAAAAGAACAACCTTGGAACAAAAGCAATTTTCTTGTTGGTGACACTTTGCAGATGGTAAGGATGCGACACCCTCGGAACGACCTTGGTGGTCTTGGTAACCTTTTCCTCTGAACTCGACTCTTCCTTTTTGTATGAGGTTGTTTCTTTCAAGTTGAACATTCTCAACAACCTCAATTTTTTGTTGAGAATTCTCGATTGTAGAATATGGTCTGGTACTTTTATGACGGATCTGTCCGTTTTCCTGGCGTTGTGAAGTCTCCCATATGTTTCGCCAAGTTTATTAGCCGCCGCATCTTCATAACTATCATCATCTTCATCGTCGTCTTCGTCGTCGTCATCATTTTTCTTGTCCTCGTCAGCAACAATTTCGTCATCGCCATCTTTAGAATCTTCATCGTCACCAAGTTGCACACTTCTCTTTTTCCTCTTACCCATGTAGTTGATGTCGAAGTTGGGCGTACCCTTCGTATCGTTGCTCCTTATGACGGGGATCACCTGACGCACTGAAACGAAAATTGAAAAACAATTATTTTAAATACATTTTTAAGTGCAGTAAATATCGTGAATAATAAATAATGTGATGCTACGTTGTGTGTTTGTAATGCTGTTGCTGGTTATATCGGTATTTAGCATTTCATCATTAAGTCGTTTCAATCAAACAACATCAAGTTATGCAGAGATTTACTATTTAGTTCTAACAAATTTTCACAGCTAATTCTCACATAAAAAAACTTTTTTTTTGACAAAACAGTGTATGTAATTAAATTGTCTCCAATAGAATAGCAATGGATAGAATAAATTATCACCCACGTTCAACAGGGATGCAGTCGAATCCATTTTCATACTCGATGTAGGTGGCACTCTCGATCTCGATGCCCATGAAGGGTCCGTACTGCCAGGGTGGGTACCTGTAACCTGGCTTGCACATGCACTTGTAGCCCCCTCGCCTGAAACCCCATCCATACAAGGGCTCACACTGAATGAAAATAATTATCTCAAGATTAGTTATCAAACGAAAGATTGAAAAAATGAGATTTTATCTGATTTACTGCAAAAGTAAAAAGCAAATACTTTAATTATATTTTAATTCCCATAGAAAATCATGGAAATAAAAATGGTTGAACTAACAATTGTGCTCGGTTTGCATCTGGCCACATTGGTCAAGTAGTCGGATGATTGTTGATTGATTGGCTGGTTGCCGATGCTGCGCGGGCAGGGGTTGAAATCGATGCTCAGAAACTCCATGTCCATCGTGGTCACTGCAACGTAACTGTGGGTTTTGAAGTTTTTCCACGTGTGTATGTGTGTGTGTGTGTGTGTGTGTGTGTGTGTGTGTTTGATTCAATAGATTTGTGACTCATTCAACTCTGCCCCATTACATAATCGTCTAAAGAATAATAATATAATGAACGGATTTTTATCGAAAGATATTAAAGAAAAACTGACGTCATTCTTCTCAAGTGTATCCAGTCAAGATATCTGGGAATGTGGTCAATCACAGGAGCCACTGCGGACACAATCCAACGATTCGATCGGCCGCAATCGAAATACGGTTCAGTGAAGAGCACCGGCAGATGAGTTTCGTCCAACTGTCCCGGTGAGGGTGGCCCAAAAAGGGTCATCGTATCGAAAACGTCCTGAGTAAATTTGCCGGTTTGATTCGAGTATTTAACACCGACGCTGTACTGATACTTTTTTTTCGAATCTTCACCTTTGTCGGTCCACTTATCAGGTAGAAACAAATCGTACCATTGGTTGATTTTGTATGTATTTAAAGTGTAGTTGTTTTGAGATCCAGCGCCGTAATCTTCAACGTTGATCGTTTTATTGGTCGGTTCTCTGATCCAGTTGGTTGGTTCATTGAAATCATCGAACCTGTAAGCTCTTGGTCCAAACAATGGAATGGTGTTGTTGAATGGTAGTGTTCGGTACCAAGTTGCAAAGGAGCTGTTCTTGTCAAAGAAAATTCCTGATGCGTTGATATTGTTAGGATTGGCCGTGACATCAGCCACTGCCGAAAAGTAGTAGTAGAGCAACCCAGGCTGCATGGGAAAGGTGATGTTGGTGTCCAACCTTTGAAATATGTAACTGTAGAAGAAGGCCCTGTTCAGCGCCATGTTGTGGGTGTGCAAGAGTTTTGTCCTGTTAGGATAAACGATGTAGCTGAGCAGTCGGTTGAACATAGGCGGCTGAGCTACCGAATCTCTTGGCAATCGTAACTCGCTCGCTGATTTCGATTTGCAATTTTGAGCGTTCACGGAATTCATCCTGTCGTCAATTTCGTCAAATTTGTCGTAAGTGAGCCAGTCATAAGCGTGAAGGAAGTTCTTCTTTTTACTAATCTGACCGTCCACCACCGTTGATGTCAGCGCCAAAAACGCGAGTGCGGTAAATGTGATGGCCACTAAAGATGCGGTCACTGCGTCCGAACATGAATTCCCATTTTTTTTAGTTCTGGTTATTAAACTTCCAGATAAGATATTTGTCGCAAACATTATTATTGTTTAATTGAAAAATTAAATAATGTTGAAAAATATCTAATCGTTCATACTGTACATAACTATTTTTTTAATCTGATTGAAAAATACGCTTAAATAAATATTCAACGATTGCCTTCATATGGTGTACTTCATTAATTAGTACACCTGTATGTTTATCTTACCTGTGCGATACATTCAAAAACGGCGATGCGCGAGATTGGCGCTTACGACACTAGCGAACGCAAGAAAAATTTAGACGCGCACGAATATACAAACTCAGCATACGACGAAACTTTCAATTTCTGTATTTTACACTTGCATAAAACCGTCGGTTAGTTTTGCTTTTTTGTTCAAGAAAGCTTTTCAATCAATATTTCACGAAACAAGTGAGAGCTCAATACGTCAAAGGATCAAGCAAGTAATTAACCAACTTTAAAATAATCAATAAACAACAAAGCGGTTTTTGCTGTAATCAATCAATCAATCAATCAATCAATCAATCAATCAATCAATCAATCAATCAATCAATCAATCAATCAACCAATCAGTCAATAAATCAATCAATCAATCAATCAGTCAGTCAATCAGTCAGTCAGTCAGTCAATCAATCGAAAATAATATGTTTTTTCTTTTCTTTAATCATTTCCATGCACTTGTCAGCTCTCCTTTGCAACTATAAAAGGGAGAGAGGGAGAAAAAAAGAAACAAAGTAAAAAAAATTAACAAATTAAAATAATAATAATATAAACTATTATAAAATATAATGAAAATATAAAAATAATACAATATATTTAATAATAATATAATTCACTACATGATAAATCTGAAACGTATGTGCGAAAAATAAATAAAATAATAAATACACATAAAATTTAAGTAAATAAATTAATATAATCAATAATTATGATTAATTTATCATTGCCTTATCTTTTCCCCTAAGTTTTGTTTTCTTTGTCTTTGTGGCCAGTCTGTCCTCTCTATCTTTGAATGCTTTTGCCCAGTAGGTTTTTTCATCATCACCTGGACGTTTGTTGGTTTGTTTGTGTGTGTGCGTGTATATGTATGTTTTTGCACGTGTGTACGTGTGTGTGTGTGTTTTTGTATCTATGTGTGTGAAAGTGTGAGTGTGCGCATCACAATCCTCATCAAACCAGACAAACGTTAACAACATCTTCATCATTATTATCATCGTCAATAAAGCTATCATCATCGTCCTCTTCGCCATCCTTACCAACCTTGCAGAAGGTGAGCTTGCCAGTTGAGTGGTGATAACGACGACTGAGTAATGACGTCACGTGATGTTTCTTCATCGGCACACCTCACATGAGCCACATCGTCATCATTCTTCATCTCTATGAACTCTATCTTGCCCATCATCGAAAGCTTCTCCTGTCGGCGAGTAGCAAGATGACCATCATGATTATGATGATGATTAAGTAGTGATGATGATATTGATGGTTAAATAACGACGATGATGATACAAGTGATGATATTGCAAAAACAATGATAACAAATAATCATTAATATCATTGTATCTTGATACCATCGTATCAAATGTTGTCACCTTGAGGAATTTTTTCGAGACTATTTCCGGCAAAACTATCTTAACAATGACATTTGGAACGAAGGATAAACCGCCTTTATTGGATACCTTCCAAGTTTTGTCGATTGATTGATTATTCGAGTTTTTTGATTGGCTGGTTGACTGGATGTGATTAGTCGAGTTTGTTGATTGGATGGTGGACTGAATTGCTGATTGGTCTAAATTTGTTGATTCCTGTGTGTCCATATTTGATTGGTTCTCTTTAGCTAGGTGTTCGTTTATCAGTCTCAGTTGCTTTTTCAATTTGGACATATTGGACTTCTGAGTGTCTAAATATTCTTGGCGCAACATTAACCATTCTGATCTGCAGGAAACATCAAAGAAGGAATGAGCAATTAAATGAATGAATGGATAAAAGAATGAATGAATGAATGAATGAATAAATGAACAATTAAATGGATGAACCAATTGAAACTTACTTAGGTATAACCCTCAGTTCTGGAATTGTCTTACAGACTTTTCCCTCCCTCCCTCTACCATCATCAGCCATGCATGGAGCCCCATCACCACTACTTCCAACTTCCATTTCATTCTTAATCACATCTCCAGATTTAATTTCCTGATTAGTGAAGTTCACTTTTAAATCTTTCTTATTCGATTTCATACCAGTAACTGCCTCTAGCTTTTTACCTTTGTCAGTCTTCGTAGTCGACGACCTAGCTTTATTATTATTATAATTATTATTAACATTACTGCTATTATTATTGCTATTATTATCAATGTTGTTATTAACATTATTTTCTTTCTTTACAGTTTGGTGACTGCCCTCATTTTCACTGTCCCGTTGTCGTTTTTGCTTTGATTTTTTCTTATTTGTTGATGTTCCATTGTTGTTGTTGTTGTTGATGTTGTTGGTGTTGTTGTTGTTGATAATGTTGTTGATGTTGCTGCTGCTACTAACGACGTTAACAGCAGAGTCATCATCTATTTTCTCTTCACATTTCATGTTTTTAGCTGCACCAGCAGCCGCGATAGCATCTTCAGGATCGCTCGTTGATTTATTTCTTCGTTTTTTGCTGCTCTTATTTTCATTGCTGCTTTTTTGCTGCTGCTGTTGCTGTGCTTTCTTTGGGAGTTGTTCGTCAACTTTCAACTTTTTTGTTGGGATCAAGTTACTGTTGTTGTCTTTGCTATTTGTTTTGTTGTCATTAGTGTTGCTGCTGCTGTTGACAGCATTGTTGTTTTCAACATTTTTGTTGTTGCTGGTAGTGGTGGTGATGTCTCTATCACTTACTTTTCTTTTCCTTGCTGCAAAAATTAGGAAACCAAATAGTGACACGTGAGCGTATAATTTAAAAAAAAATTCTAAATTCCACAGCCTTTTGCTAAATAAAGGGGCAATATTATAAACGGCAACAAGTCAAGAAATGATGGTAATTGTAAAAAAAACATAAACAATGCTCGAATTAATGTAAATAAATAAATTAAAAATCACCATCGGCAACTGACACGACACTGTACAACAACAAACAACACAAACTATCTATTACCGACCTACAACAGCGAAACCTCACCTACCTAACAATTTACTTGTCGACTTGTTGTTGACTTGTTTCTCCAGATGTTTCTCCAACTTGCTGGCACGTGGAAAGATTCCAGGCCTCTCATTCAGGGCAGAGATTGGAGGATTGTTCATTAGCTACGTTAAAAACATTATAACAATGCATGTTTTTCAAAGTAAACATGTGAATTATTTCAGATGAATTGAACTGAGAAAAACCATAAAAAATAAGGGTATTTATGTCTTCATTAACAAAACCTAACATATCAACATCCAGATAAGGAAACAGAAGAGGAAACAACACAAGTACTAAACAATAAATAGCAACAATAACACACACAAACACACACCACATACCACACACACGCGCGCGTGTACACACAAGTAAGTAACAACCTCGCAAGCAGTTAAAGCTTGCTGCTTAGTAAGGAACTCAACAAATGCAAAGCCCTTGATATCTTTGGTGCTTTTAAATTTGGGCAGACTGACGTAGACAACCTTTCCACAGCTGGAAAATACTTTCTGAACCCATTCAATTGTGGCCTTTTGAGGTAGACATTCCTGGGGTTCATGATGGGAAAAAATATGAGAAAAACTGACAAAAATTTCAATGTAAGCATTTAAATAATATAAAAGTTAAAATTATTACGAGTTAATATTTTTTTCATTTTTCTATAATATGCAAATGACGACATGATGTAAGACTATAAAATTACCAAGTGCTGCAAAATAATCTATGTAAATCTTCATGAAACAAGGCTATGTGACATTAAATGTTGTTTCAATTCTTAACATGCTCTTCATAAAATAACTTTATCACATTTATAAACACACAAAAAACAACAAACGCATAAACAAAAAATAAACAAACAAACAAAAATACATGTTTAAACAGACAAACACTTAAATACAAAAACACAGGACCATACATAAAATTACTAAAACACATGAACAAAAAACAAACAAACCACATAGACAGTTCTTTCGTCGACATCTTTTGGCTCAATGAATTCATTCTTTCTGCCAACTTTAATTTGCTCTTCGTCAACCTTTCATTAAAAGTTTAATAAAAATTTATTTTAAATGAAAAAACAATAAATATTTTTAAAATACCAAAAATAGAAATAAAAATAAATAAAAAATTCTACTAAATAATTATATGAATGATAAAAATGCAAAAAATAACTAGATTGATATTGATTACTTTTAGGAGTTCAGATTTTTTAACAGCATCTATGATGGTTTCAATGTTCGATGTTAGAGCTTTTATTTTGTTGAATTTCAGAAACACATTCAGGTCAATGACTGGTTAGAAAAAATAAAATTATGAAGAAATAAAATAAATTAATAAATAAATGAAAAATTATAGGAGTAAAAAAGAAAATTATATAACTATTTTAATGATTAAAACTTTAAAAATCACCAATTCAAAAAAAAAAATTAATTAATGACTAAATAATAAAACAGAAATATGAAACGAAATAAAAATAAAAAAAATACCAAAAATAAATTTAAAAAAATTTTAAATTATATCATACGGCCATCACTGGATGACTGAACTTGATGTTTCAGGAATCTGTCCTTTTGTAGGTTTGCATCACTGAAATAAAACTCCATCTTCAGATAGATAGGGGTTTGAAGTTTTTTTTTAATTAAATATTAAAATAAAAATGAATGCACAATAAATGTCGGAGTGCAATATAGTTTTTAATTTATAAAACATAAAAAATTAGATCATGACATAAAATAAATAATATTAAATAATAATAAATAGTATTAAATAAAATAACTTACCTGCCCCATTATTTGACTGTGAAGATTCTTTTTACGCTGCCGACTCTTCTTACTTTTGCCAGACGATTTTGATTTACTTGGTTTTATTAATCCAGCCTCCGCCATACTAACATATAAATAAAAACTAATCCAATGTTTTTTAACTGAATAATTAATTTTATAATTTTAAAATTAATTTAATCTATTTTCAATCAGGTTAGCGTAAAAAAGCGAACCGTTTACGACATGAATTGAATTTGCCGTATTTTTAATAATGGAGTTTACTTTTAAACTGTTTTTAAATAAAAGACGAACAGCGCTGAACTCGCTGAATTTTATAATTTCATTTCAAAAATTGTTGGTTGGTCTCGGTTGATCTCTAATACTCAGGTTGAATTAGTTTCGTTCCATATCCAGTGCACCCAGTGCACCTGTCAAATTAGTGGATTGGTTTATCGGTTTTCCATTAAGCTGAACTGTTTAATAATTGACAGTATTATTTTCATCTAACTACCAATATTTTATTTTTTTATAATCGTCATATTAGAGAACGTACAATCATTTTTGACCACTGAACAATGTAGTTCAGTGTTTTCGATGGTCCTGCGTTTTCATCATTCAAGCCATTCATAAAACAAAATGAGTATAGATGTCAACTGTTCTGTGTTGTTTGGTTTGTGATACATTGCTAATTTTATCTCATTCAACTTTGAACTTTTTGATTATTATCTATAAACTTCTATTCTGACTTTTCCCCACTCAATGGCAATCACTGAGAAGATCTGAGTAGGTAGGCCTCTAAAGTTACATGCACAAAAAACTGTGAAAAAATAAAGCAGTTCTCATTTGACTGTTTACTTGTGAATTGAAAACATCTTGACAAATTAAGGGAGCAGTTGATCTACAATTCTATACTTTAAAATTATTTGATTTTCGATCAAACCGTAAAATAGCAGCCTTGTCGAATTTCATATAAATAATGAAATTTGAATCGCTCATTAATTTTCAATAACCAAAAAGTCCGATGTAACGCATTAAGATTTTATTCTGAGGAAATGGAAAACATTAAAGAACAATCATGACGGCAAATTTTAAGATGTAGCACTTCAAAGCAAACATATTTGAAACTTTTGAATAAAAAGCAATGCTCGTTTGTTCTACATTTAACTTTTTATGTACATTAATCTATAAATTATAAACTGATTAACTCGAAAAATCGAAAATTATAAGCCAGTTGAAATCAACTCGAATCTGTACTTATATCGAAGATTAGCCCCATTATTTGAGAGCAATATTATTTATATAACTAATGATGAAATAAACTAGCAGACTCAGATAAGGCTATATTGAATAATGAATGATAAAAATGTAATTATACGTAAATTTTAAAAATAATATTATGACTTTATTTCGTAATTGAAAAATGCAACTATCGATTCAGCCCGTTGGTACCGTCGCAATCATTATTTTGTCCATCGCCACTGCCGAGGCTATTGACCGATTGTGGATCGGTCCTCTCCATTGAAACTCGATACTTGGGTCTTGTGGCACTGGTCGTTTGGATCCGAGATATAACGACTGGATTCGAATTGAAGGACCTCATCATCTCCACGTCGGTATCAGTGTTACCACTGTTGGACGCAACGACTTCCGACTGCCTGAGCCACTCGTTCAGGAAAGACGAGTCGCTGCTGCCTCCATCACCAACAATGCAGCCACCGAATCCTTGGAGTGCATCTGTGTACATCTTCAACGCAGGACCAAAAGATTCATCATCGAAGTTGTTACATCCGGTTGTCTCCATGTTGCCATCGTCACCACCTTCCAGAACAACTCTCTTTACAATTGTCTGCTTCTGTTTTGTTTTAATGGTTTTTCTAACTATCACACGACCGTCAGGTAGAGTTTCTTCTCGTTCCTGAACATCAGTAGTAATTTCCGGTTCACCTTCCACAGTATCCGTGTATATTTTCAAACTGGAGTGGGAGGATCCAGATCCTCGGCGTCTGCGGGGAGAAGTAGCGTTGCCTAGTGACGTAGCGGAAGCAACAGATGACCTTGACCTCGGTGAAATCATTCCTAGGACCACATCGCTGTAACCAGATTTGACGCTCGACGTCTCGGACATGTCGACGTCAGGTATTTCTTCGGTGATGACGTCCTCAATGACGTCACCGTTGTGCAGGGTCTTGCGAATTTTGCGTGTAATCAACTTGCGAACACGAGATCTTATGATGCGCTTCTGTTGTTGTTGCTGATTTGTTGCTGCCGACTGTCGAGTTGGTCTTTGTTGCTGCTGCTGGGGCTCTGGGATGATGAAAGATGGAGGTTTTCCCTGTTTTGTAGTTGTTGTTTTATCTTCATACTGTTTTTGCGGTTGTTGCTGAACTTGTTGTTGAGATTGTTGTTGCTGGTCTTTTGGGGTCTCAGTTTTGGTTTTGACTTTTGATATTGTTGATCTGTAAGGTGGCACTCTCACGATTCGTTCTTTCACGTTGTCAACGTACGACGCCGATGCCGAAAAAAATTCAGGAAATTCGAGACCCAAACATTCGTAAAATATTTTTTGAATGGTTGAATCGCTGAAAATATTTTGCTGAAGTTCTTGGGATGGGTGTTGTTGAACTTGTTGTGGTCCGTCTGCAACTTTGTTCAATAATAACTGAGATTTGTCTTCATACATTTCTGTTTGCTGCTGTGGTTGTTGTTGTTGTTGTTGCTGTAGCTGCTGTTGTGGCTGTTGTTGTACGCTCGACTCAGCAGTCATCCCTTCTTGAAAAACACTTGGACTATCAGCATCTTCATTGCTGAGATAGGCTACCACCATGGTAACCTTCTTTTTCACCCAAGTGCCATCTTCCAGGGTTTCCTCATTCTCGTCAATGGAAGTCGTCGTCTCGACGTTGGCAGCGTACGGATCCTTGATTTCTGTAGGCGATTCAAACACGTACTCATCTATGCATTTGCCGACAAAAGTCTCGAGCTGTTCAGTAGCCACGACCACTCCTTGCTGCAGCGTACTGCGTTGTTGTTGCTGGTAGTAGTTACGCGTCATGACTTTGCGCGTCGTTGACGTTTTTCCATCTTCTGAGAGAGTTAGTTTTTCAGTTTCATCGATTTTGCATTGAATATCACCGTCAATAATTTCATATGTGAAATCGGGCGTTGGTGTTGTTGTCACTTTTGTTTCAGATGTTGTTGTAGCAGTTGGGGATGTATCAGACGCCGATGTTGTTGTTGTTGGCTCAGATTCAATGTCCTGTATCACCGATGGTGATGAGATCATGGAACATTCCTCAGAGATTGGTTGTATTTGTTGTTGAGCAGTTGTTGTAGTAAAAGATTTCATACTGTCTGTCGTGGTAGTAGTAGCAGATGATGCCGCGACAGCAGCTTTTTCCGACACTGTTGAGATTGTTGTTGTTATTGTTGTGTCGGTAGTAGTTGTTGTGTACGTCGGCGTTGTCAGTGTTGTTGTTAGTGTTGATGTTGTTGTTTCAGTTGTTGTTTTTGCAGCTTCGTCAACCGTTTGTTCTGTAACTTCCTTTAGCTGTTCAGTTTCAATTAATTGTTGTTGCTGTTGTTGTTGTTGAATTTTAAACATTTCGACATGTTCGGTTGAGATAGGTTGCTGTAATTCATGTTGTTGATTTTCGCTAATTGGGAGTTGTTGTTGTTGGGTCTGATGTTGTTGTTGGTCTTCTTCTTTCAATTGCTTCTCAACAATCAAACGCTCTTCAGTTGATATCATTATTTCTCCTGTTTGCTGTTTCTCTAGAAATAAATCTCCATGTTTTTGCAGTTTGAATTCTTTATCAAGTTGTTCCAATTGCTGTTCATTCATTTGTTGCTGATGATCATCTGCCAGCGTGTCTCGTTGTTGTATTGTTTGTTGTTGTATTGTTTGTTGTTGTATCTCTGGTGTATGTGCTTGTTCTGTTAATTGTTGCTTACCAGATGGTTTCATCATTTGTTCTTCTATTGAAACACTGACAACATTTTCATTCAAATTTTCAACTTTAACTTCTTTGTTAACAGAAACGTCTGCCGACCTTTGATTCTCTTTAACAAAAGAGATAGCTGAATCGGTCAACGAATGTAATATTTGTTCTGCCATTAGCTCAACATCTCTATTCGTTGTTTCACCTACGTCCATTTTTATAATTTTCTGATCAGCATTTTCAACAGGTGTTTTAACACTTTCCTCTACAACTTCCTCAAAGTTTTTTTTGCCAGCTGACTTTGTTCTTTGCAATTTTAACATTGTCGCCATAATTGCGGCTAAATAATTGTTTTGTCAATTTTTAACATTAATATTGAAACGCAATAACTAATTTTTAAAAATTATTAAAACCACACAAACCTGGCACTTGATTGAGAGTTTCAACATCTTGACCTTCATAAACCAGATGTAGGTCTTTGAAAGCTTCATAATAATGCTCCAATCTTTCCAACAAAGTTGCATTCTGCAGCTTAATCTTCACCTCTTTCTCAGCTTCTTTCTTATTATCAGTCAGTCGTCGGGTGATGATGAAGTTGAAGAACTCTTGAAACTTCTCTTTCACCTGCGTTGCTCGCTCCTCTGACTCGTTGACAGGCTTCAGCTGCTCGAGTAGTTCTTGAACCAGCGATATGTTCATCACTGACGTCCCTTCTATGAAACAATGAAAACAAATGTTCACCTTGTTATATTTAATTTTAAAACGAGTTGTTAGCCAAATGCATCACTAAGATAAAAATAAGTTTAATTTTTTTTTACAACGTTTACCTGTCAATTTTTCAAGCAGTTCTGGACTTGGTTCCGTGTTTTGGTCTGATGGTGTGTGTTGGTTCTCCGCAAAATCAACTTTACATTCAGTTTCATCAATGTTATTCATTGATTCTTCAACTTTTTGCACCGTCTTCTCAACCTTCTCGACTGCCTTTTCTACTTCATGAAAGGATTTTCAAC